AATAGATATTCTCACCTATCGTGAACCAATTGAGTTTGGAACTGATAGTGGGGGCTAGTTTGTAATGAACAAGTGCCACATCGTCTGCAAAGGGTACCTGTGAAGATAGGTAAATAGTAGGCACTGTATAACTTGGATTGAACAATAGTCGCAGGTTATAGGTGGTTGATATTGTACTGTCTTCAATCATCATGGTGTCTATATTACAACTAGGGTTTGGAAGCCTGGGTCTGATTCTTGGGTGATTTTGATGTATGGCGAGGCAACTATGGTGTAGGCTATCATCTTAGGTTATTTTTAACCCTCTTTTCAGTAGTTGTGATGAATGTGAATGATGGCCAGATACCATATCTCTCTACCCTGTGGGTTCATTAGTTGGTAGTCTACTCGGATATTGACACTCATTCACTCAGGTTTAATGCCAACTCAAACTGGTTTAAAATATAGCAAAGGGAGTTAATAGTGGAATTGAACATGTTGTAAGACATATCCATTCTGTTGAAGAGTATGCACCCAAATAAATTACCACTTGTGCGTGCCTAGTAAAAGTATCAAAAAATAAAATGATTTTGACAAGGGTCTCGCTGACCTATCTCAGTTGGTAACAACTGAGACCTATTGTAGGTTACACTGCAATAGACCCTAGTTTAGCCCCTGGCCAAAAAAGATCGTAATAATTTAATTTACGGGATTTATCAGTTCGATTCCAGGAATGAATATCATAGGGTGCATACATACTATGTACGTTGAAGATCACGAATTTGTAGAATATGGTGACCCTGAATTGTCTATAAGGTATGATGGTAGCTACCACCAATGTGGTGTAAGTTCGCTTCATCTAGATGAATACCATTCTGACAACAAGTAGTGGTAATAGATATTCTCACCTATCGTGAACCAATTGAGTTTGGAACTGATAGTGGGGGCTAGTTTGTAATGAACAAGTGCCGCATTGTCTGTAAAGGGTATCTGTGAGGGTAGGTCAATGGTAGGCACTGTATAACTTAGATTGAACAAAAGTCGTAAGTTATAGGTGGTTGATATTGCACTGTCTTCAATCATTGTGATGTTTATATCACATTTAGGGTTTGGAGGCCTGAGTTCGATTCTTGGGGTGATTTTAACGTATGATAAGGCAACTATGGTGTAGGCTATCATCTTAAATTGTTCTTGACTCTCTTTCCAGTAGTTGTGATGAATAATGAATGATGGTCAGGTATCATATCTCTCTACCCTGAGGGTTCATTGGTTTGGCAGTCTACTCAAATATTGACACTCATTCACCTAGGTTTAACGCCAACCCACACTGGTTTGAAATATAGCAAAGGGAGGTTAATAGTGGAATTAGACGTGTTGTAAGACATATCATTTAGTTGAAGGATATGCATCTAAATATATTACCACTTGTACGTGCCTAGTAAAAGTATTAAAAAAAAATGATTTTGACCATTTTGACTATTTTGGATATCTGAAATGATCCATTTCAACTTCATGTATAATCTCAACTATTTTCAAAATAGTTACAATATATAATTATATAAAAAACATATAATTAGGCAATTAGTAAGGCCTATTTGCTATATCATGTTTAGATATCTATAATAAATATAGTTAAAAATTGCTTTAAATTCACATTGTTTCTATTTTCTAATATATTAATTAATAATATTTTATTTTTAAATATAGATTAAAAATACTTTTTAATAAAAATCAAAAAAAAATATAAATAAATATATAAATTATGATTATTATATATAAAAAATAATGATTGAGATTTTAGGTTAAAGAAAAGAAAATTAATATTATTTAATAATAATAATATAAATATAGAAAGTAAGAAATAGATTAAAAATATTAAATATTTAATTTAATTAAAAAAAATTTAAAAAATTTAAATTTTTATGTAATTTAAATTTACTTTCATTTGGCTTTTTATAAAACTAAAAAATATAAAAATATCAAACTAACATTAATAAATTAATATCAATTAAATGTTTGTTAGATTATTTTTAAAAAATATTTCAAAAATTTTTTAATATATATTTATCTTTTCCATTTGTATATCTTTAAACAATTAATAATATATTGTATATTTAAATTATTTATTATTTCTTTTACCAGTTTTCCCATTTTAATATTTAACTTAAAAATTTTTTAAATTTTTTTCAAATCTTTAAAATGATTTTTCTTAAATCTGAAACTTGATTAAACTTCAGTAAGCTTTAAGTAAAAATATTATTATAAACAAATAGTTTACAGTAATCTCAAACATCTTGAAACTTAAAATTGCCTAAAAATAATTTACTTTACTGCATATCATTAACAATGTTTCCAAATCTTATAACCATGATTTTTTTTCAAAAAAGCTACTTGACCTTTTTCAATAGCCTTCATTTTTATTAATTCAATTAAGAGTTTTAAACCATTGAATTTTGTTTGCCATTTTTAAAAATTGTTTGAACGATTAAATGGAATAAATAAATCGCAAATTTCACAATGTCAAAATTTAAAAATTTTCACTACGCTAATTCAATTTATAATTTACCATTCAATTTTCTCAATTTCAAATTTGAATTCAAAATTTCTTTTCTTATATGAAATTATCGTTAATTCAATTTATCATGTATTACATAATCAATCTTAGTATTCAAACTAAAGATATTGAGTAAACCGATATACTCCTTGATCCTTTTTACTCAAACCGACCAAACTTCATCATTGTGAAGCTTCCTCTGGCAAATCAGGAATATCTTTACTGCGAGCTTCTTAGATTTTTATTCTAGATCGTCGCTATTTCATTCGACCTTTAACTCCTTATTACATTCTTAATAATTATAGAATGCTCTTGATTAATTGCTCTAGGATTTTCGTATTTTTTGCAAAAAAAATTGTAATATTACATTTAAATGGAAACCAAACAATTCGAAGTAACCTGTGCTTGTTGGCAATGATACATAAATACATACGTCTTCGGTTTTTTTTTAATGTTTTAAATTCAACTTTTCATCAAATTATTATTTTTTTTTATATATTCAATATATTAAGTTAATTATGATTTGTGTTGCTATGCTTTAATGCTAATTTATGTGAAAAAAAAATATATATATATATTTTTAGCACGATACTGTTACGAAAGAAAGTTGGTGTTGATAAAAAACATTTATTGATCGTGACCGACCATGTTACATTAGATGTTACACAAGTGTTGATCGTTCACGTGATCCAATCATAACGCGTATATCACACGTAGAAAATGTAAAATGTAAACATACCACTTGAGAAGACAAAACTTAATATTTAATATTATTAAATAAAAACTTATATATAGGAATATAGGAATATAGGAATTCTTTACTTTCAAATATCCTTTTACTTTTTTTTTTTTAATTTGACATGCGCGTTGGAACGAAAAATACCATTTCGTTGAAAGGCTCCACCAAAATAGTCGTAGAATTCTTTGGTGAGGTGTAAATCTTTTTGTAGGTTATTATTTTAAGCGTTATTTAATCATTATAATTTTTCGTCAAATATAAAAAAGAATTCGCGATGAACAGGTATTAAATCTTACCTTAATACTCTTTATGACGTATTTTAATGACTCTATCTCCTAATGTTAATTAATTAACCTTTAATAAAGTATCCTATTTCAACGTGCAGTTTATCCTCCAGAGGATTTTAAAATTGTAAAGAAATACGGGCTCAACATTCTTATAACAATTGATGATTCTTTAAAGTCTTATTTAAAAAAACTTTTGACTCAAGTTGAAGGTAATTTTATCAACCAATATTTTAATTTATCATACATTCCCGGTTAACGTGTTCTTTTTCTTTGGATAGCTTGGTTAAATGCCGGACAAATCAGCAAACTTGTATTAGCCATCATGAATGTTGAAACTCGCGAAATACTTGAACGATGGCAATTTGATATACAAATTACTGATGAAAATAATATAGGAATGTATGTTTTATCAAAAAAAAAATTTTTTTTCTTTTTTTTTTCCTATTTATAAGAAAGATCAAATCTATCCAAACTTTAGTGGTAAAGAAAATAAAGAAAAGAAACAGAAGACCGAATCCGAGGTTAAAAATGAAATTCAAGCAATCATTCGCCAAATTACAGCCAGCGTTACATTTTTACCTGAACTAGATGATGAATGTATGCAAATTTTTATTCAATGATAAATAGTCGAAATTTAAATTGGGTTAATTCTATTCTATTTATAGGCAGCTTCAATGTTCTTGCTTTCACTGACAAAAACGCAGAAGTACCAGCTGAATGGGATGATTCGGATCCACTTATTATTCAAAATCCTGAATACGTTAGGTTGAGATCATTTTCAACCAACAATCACAAGGTTGATGCCATCGTTTCGTATCGATTGGGTCTTTATGATGACCATAAATAATGAATTCAAGATTGAAGTTTGTTTAATGTGGGGTGTAGCAAATCTTGTTTCATGATGTTCATTTTGGAACAAATTAATCAGTTGATATCATTATTACTTAATAATTTTTTTCTGAATAAATTTAAATATAAATAAATAAATAAATATATAATATTTTATTTAATATTAAATAATTTCGCTTTTGCAACTTTTTCTACCACACGGTAAGTCAAACTAACTCTTGTGTCCCTTTCCAGGATTACATCTTTATCAATATCATTCGACAAATTCATTAGGATTTTCTCGTGTAAGTTATCTGAGTTTCTTTCTTCAATTCCGTGTAGGTAAGTCTTGTATAAAGCATCTTGAAGCACCAAAAGACTAATATATAATGATGCTTTTAAAACAGTAAATATAATTAAATTGAAAACTTTGTAAATTGATTGAAACGTACCTTCTCGGTTCAAGAAGTAGTGAAAAAGTTGGCATGGTATTGGGCTTAATCTGTTCCATGTCAGAATCTTCGATGACGCGGTGCTTATAGAAATTAAGAACAGTTTGTGATTTTAATGAGACCGTTGCCACTGTAGGATAATAAAACGGACCGTCCTCATGCGGCTTCAAGTTTTAAGATATACACATTAAAATTCGTGTTTCGGCACGACCATTATCACGGAATCACGTTCACTCACCATAATCCCTTGACCAGATTCATACTCATTAATTAAACAATGGTTTGGTAGCTTAAATTTTGAACAACCATCAAAAATTCCAAGATGAGAGAATTTGCTAAAAGGGGAAGTTAGCCATGATGGAAGCGGTTCAGAAAGCATACCACGTTCCGTTGGTTTACCACCTATGCCATACGCAAGCATGTGAGATTAAGATCATTAATAAAGGAACGTTACATAAGAGATGATTACCCCAATTTTGAAGTCTACATATACTCGGATATTAATGAAACGTTGAAATCAAATTAAATTAGAAACCATCCTAAAAAAAAAAAAAATTAAAATAAAAAGACAAACCTTCGATTTTTTAAAGTAACCCATCTAGGTTTAGGGGCTGAATATACCTATAAACATACATTAATGAAATGAATAAATAACATTTTTTATATCTCTAATCGACCAACCAAATTAAATTAAGTGACCTTATCTAAAAGTTCTTGTTCTTCTTCCTTTGATATAAAATCTCTAATATAAAAAGCACTATTTGGAACGTTATCTATTTTAAAATTTTTTAAATTTTTTAAATTGGTCTCCATTTTGTTCTTGGATTTGTCGAAGAACAATCCAAATTTTAGCTATTGTAAATGTGTATTCTTTCTTCTATGATAATCAAAAATTCAGAGAATAGAGAACAAATGAGATTGCTCAAATGCAAGAAGAAAATTTGACAGATTACACAAAGTTCTATTTATTGCAACCAAATTTACTTTTATACGCCAAATGTTTTTTAAGGCCGACAAACATTAAATTTCCAGGCAATTTATGAGTAAAAAAAAAATTTTGGTCAACATTATTTATTTACCAGTTGATTGGATATCTTGACTTAAACAAGTAATGACATAAAGGGATCGACGATTTTATATAATCAAGATCTACGGGCATGTTTAAAATCTTAAATGTAGTCAGTCATATCATAATGAAAAATAATAAATTTTTAAACGATTAATTTATTATGTTTCAGTTTATATAATTAAAAAATTTTTGATGTGACAATTGAGAAATACAATAGAAATAAAACACCTTATTGTTGCAGTTTCACCAATTTATTCGGCGATTTAAAAATCTGTGATAATTTTATTAATCGAATTAAGAATGATTCGATGTATAACAAATATTGAGTTTATCAGATTGTATATCAATGATTAAAATGTAAACAAAAAGCTTTGTTATGTACTCATATAAAAAAAGGTTTGAGATCCCTTATCAGGATTATAACGGGATCTTATCTTTTTATTGTTATTTTTATTTATTTATTTATTTATTTATTATGATATCTTTATTATTATTAAAAAAATAAAAAGGACCAACAAAGAATAAAACTTACATCGCACAGGAAAATCTCACAATTTCCATTATATTAAAGAAGTTTCCCATTGGAAAATTTTAATTATTACTAAAATTGGATGATATTCTCTTCGAATGATATATTTCTTGGTATGTATGAAAGAAATTTACAGACTTGCAGTATAACGTAATACAAACAATGACATTGTTGGATACACTACATATGACACGTGGTCGCGTGAGTAGATGTTATTTTTAATATTCACAATAAGGAATTAATGACGAAATTTTATTTATCATCCGCATAAAACTGAATAGCCCCGAACCATCTTTTTTTAAAAAATTCTTTTTTTAACAAAAGAAAAAAGGTAATAACTACTTAAAATGTTAAGTTGATTACAAATTTTCAGCATTTTTACCTGTTATATGACATCCGAAAAGGTAAGAATACGCCATTATGTAAATGCCCAATGATGTTTGCTGTTAACCTATCGGCCTTCTTATCAATAAATAGAAATACATTTAAAGATTATGGGTGCGATGTGCAATGACATAACTTACACATCGTAAGAAAATTTGAAATGAATTTATCGTTCTTTTTTTTTATAATGATTATTTTTTTTTTCTTTTTGCTGCTTCTCAGCCAACGATAAAAGAAAGAAATTTTTCGCGTATCTTTGACCCCGCATGGTTCCGAATTTTTATCTATAAACTGGCTAATTTCAAGTTCAACAAAGCTAGCTAAACTACATAAAATAGGGGTAATTTTTTTTTTTGTTTCAGAAGAATTGAATTCAGCCAAAAAAAAAAAAACACAAACTTGGGCGTCAAAAATGAGTAAGAAAAATTCCTTTGGTTATTAAACAAAGAATGAAATAAAAAAATACTTTTTGATCATTTTCACCTGAAGGATTGGCTTTGATTGAACTACTATATTTGAGTTAAAATAAAAAAAAAGATACATTGTGCAGAGTGGTTTAAGGTATGTGGAAGATGCAATTCGCACATAGTAGAGTTTTATTTCCGTTGCCGTAAAAACGGCCAGTTTCCGAATCGAGTTGAATTTGTATTCTGTATCATTTTATCTTTATTATGTTCGTTGTTCGTTATCCGTTATCTCATTACTTTGAAATACTTCAAATAAAAAAAAGGTAAATTTATTTTTTTTTTATCAACATTTTTATAATTTTTATAAGAACAATAATATTAAAAAGCTTGCATCAAATAAAGCAAAGCATAAAATGATATTTAACAATTACTGCGTTGCAAATATAACTCCGTTCTCTCCGTGCATTCCGTGCCTGGTTGTTGGATGATAAAATGCATAAATGGTTTGTCTTTTTTGAAATTTATGATAGCACTTTGTAATATGGTTGATCATTTAAAAAATTCTGGCGAGTCAGAAATCAAGATCAACGTGTTTGAAAAAAAAAATTTTTTTTTCAACAATGTATGACGAACAATTTGTACAGATAAAAATAAAAATAATGTCATGCAGCCAAATTGTCAATTTTCTTGCAGATTATTTATCGTCCTTTCCAAAGGTATTTATTCGTGTAGATTTAGTTCTTATACCTTTTTTACTTTTCATTTTCCTATTTTTTTTTTTTTTTTTAAAAAAAAAACCCTCCCAGAGAATTCTCTAACCGAAACCATATTTTATTCTCTCATTAACCACGAAAATATGGAGTCTTAGTTCCTTTTCGTAAGCAATATGACTACCATTAATTAGAGAAAAGAAGAATTCTCGTTCGCGAAATAGAGAAACCTTTATTTTCATCTAAGCCTTATTTAAAATGTTTATAATTTAATATGGTATACGATCTTCTTAATAATGTTGATCTAATATCATTTGTTTGCTTAGATAATAATAATGCATTCAATCTAACTTGATCTTCTTCATTTTTTTAGGAACTTTACATTCGTTCTCTTTCTTTATAAAAAAAGGTTCTTTCGTAATTAGGGATAATGCTTAATTCCTTAGTCATGATTTTATCGTGATTTTATTATATTTTTCTTTATCGTCTTATATTTCTTATATTTGATTTTTTTTATTTTTTATTTCTTTATGAATTTTCAAATTTAATCGACCTTATATTAATTAACACTTCAAAACGTTTCCCTTTTTTTTGGTTCTCAATGTTCCATTGTGTTTCATCGTGTTCTACTTTCGAATCTTGCCTACGCATGGCTTCTCTATGTCAAGCATAGCTTGAAAATGTATCATTCCTACTATCATCTTTATATTCTTTCGTGATATCCGACATTAATCACTTTGATACACACATTAACACATTGTGATGGGATTCGTCAACCATCCATTCATCCATCGTTCTTTTTTTTTTTAATCATTGCGCGTGCATTCCTTTTTTTTTCATTTCGATATTTAAAAGTTTTTTTATTTATTCGGTTTTTTTTTTTTTTTAAACAAAAAAAGTTTTCTTCTTATAACTTCCAGTCGATATTATAAAAACATTTAGGGAATTTACGTTTCTTTGTCGTTACTACACAATCTTTTTTACAACATTTTTATATTTCGTCATATTTTAAAAAGAACTTGTCCCCTTATCAAGGTTATTATCGAGCGATTATCAGCCAATTTTAATCATTATTTCTTCAAACTTATTGCCAATTCATAACTGAACCTTTTTTTTGTTGGCATCTTTAAATTTTTTAAAAATATATATGTGTATGCTGCATATACATTTTATCATTGAACCCTAACAAAGTGCGGAAAAAATCAAACATTACAGATCTTTCTGTTTATAGTAAATGTTATTAGGTAATATGAATATGTCATGCGCGATGCTTTTTTTTTAATGTAGGGATTAGGTAATTTCATTTTAATTAACATGTTTATGCATTTTATTTTTTGACAGGTTTGATGGATGACACATTGATTATGAACAGGTAAGGAAAATTTACGCGGTTTTTATGCGTTCATTTATTGCATTGTAAGAACAATGATTTACAAATATTCAAAAAATTACAAATTTACAAACAAATGTGAATTCTTATTAGGGGGATAACAAAAAAAAAAAAAAAAAAAACGCGCGAATTTTTTTTTTTGAATGGGCCTTTTTTTTTGTGTTGTGCACGATTTACACGATTTATAATTTTTTTTTTTTTCCTTCGAGATCTCGGGTTTCCAATCTTTTATTTTTCCGCGCTTTTTTTTTATATTCATTACTAAGCTTAGTTTAGTCCTTTTTTTAGAAAAAAAAGGTGAAAGGATGGCGGAATCTTGGTCATTTTTTGTGGGGTCCTTTTTGGGATTGACAGGGTAACCTTTTCATCTCGAAAATTCCTTTTCTTTATAAGTTCATTGCCTTATTTTTTTTCCTTGTCCCCCAAAAGATGCACGTTCTCCCACCCCTTTATTTTCATTACTAACTTAAATTTTCTTTTTCATGAAATCAACTACTTATGTGTTCTTTTTGTTAAATTTTTTTTTTCAATTTTTGATTATAAATTTTTATTTTTATTTTTTTTCACTGAAAAAATTTCCTATCTAATGAATATCTTTTTTCCTTTCCATTTTTTTTTTTTTTTTTTTAAAAAAAAAAAGATATTTGGAAAACATTTGATAGGAGAATGATAAATAGTAAAAAACAAAATAGAAACATTAGTAGGAGGGGAAGAATAGATAATGAAAATAGTCACACCTTTTCTTTGGTTTTTTTTTAAAAAAGAAGAGAAAAAAAAAGCAAGTAGGAAGGAGAAAAGAATTTTTTTTTTCTTTTTTCTTTTTCAAAAAAAAAAGGTAAAGAAATGGGAGATGAATCATTCATTAAGATAAAATAATAATATTTTTTTTTTATATATATATATAGAAATATAGATATATATGAATTATAATTCGTTCTTAAAAAATATATTTTTTACATTGCACACATATATATGTATAAAATATATATATGTATAAAACTCAAAATAAAATAAAATAAGCTTAGTAATTGTCAATTTTTACAAAGGAAAAAAAAAGAGAAGAAAATAAAAACCGATGAATGGGGGGTGGGGTATTATCATGATTTTTTGTATGTAATCTTTTTTAATTATTGATTTTTTTAAACAGGTGAAATATGAATGCTATGATTATATATAAAATGAGAAAATGAACTCGCACTTTTTAACACGCGCAGAGAGAGAGATAAACAAGAATTGAAAATATCTTAATTTTTTCTATACCAAGACGGTAAAGAAAAGAACTTAAAAAATGAAATAAAAAAAAATGATCATAAGTACGGTATTTAAAAATTAACGGAAAATATTTTGGGTTACATAAAAGGGTGAACGAAGAAAAAATCGTATGAAGAAAAAGGAGATTTTGTACAAAAAGTAATGCAAGTAAATTAAAAAAAAAAAAAACTTTGTGAAATTTGAGAGCATATTCAACATAACACAGGCGGGAGAGGAGAATTGGTTATGTTACAAATCATTTTCGGTAAAAAGAAATCATATAGGATATTTTCTTAAAAAAAAAAAGATTGAATAAACGAACCAATTACCGAAAAGTGATGAAATGAGATCAAAAAAAATTAAAAAAAAGAAACAGAATTGAAATAAAATATATAAAATAATTTTGTTGGTAAGATTTTCATTAAATATTGGGTTCGTATTCGTGATTAATCTTCCAAGTCGCAATCCGTTAAATAATTAGCTTACTCTCCTCCCTATGATATGAATCGTAAAGGAAAAAAAAAGGGAAAAAAAAAAAATAAGAAAAAAAAACCTACCAAAAAAAAAAAAATAGATATGATATAATTTGAACTTTAAAAAAATGAAATCAAATTTTTTTTTTTCAATTAAAAAAAATATTTTTTTTTTGTTTGTATACGCTAATTAAATTCACCCCACAACAGTACCACTACCATTAGCGGTAGATACAATATTTTGATTAGAAATTTGCTGTGTTGGTTGTGGCCAAATATTCATACCAATATTTTGCGGTAAAGCCGGACGTGATCTCGTCTTCAATAATTCACACAAGTCGTCGTAGACTCGATCAGTGTCTTCCTCATTGCTAGAGTATCCAGCTCTTCCGTTAGCACTTTGTGATGCACCATATGAACCTCGGTTACGATCGGAAGAAGTTGATGATGGAGGAGATGGACTATTGGAATTTGGATGACGATAATCAGGTCTGAAAAAAGGTTCAATAGTGGTATCAGTGTTGGGACCAGGTGGCAGGACAATTCCGGAACCTCTGGGTGGACTATCAGTAAGACCAGATCCAGGACGATTCATTGCTAAATGTATGCGAGGAAACAAAACTCGGTAAGTACGGGAAGAATTTTTTTTTTAAAAAAAAAGGAGAGAAAAAGGAAGACGATGACATACCCTCTTTACGAACAGACTCCTTATGTCTGAGCCATGGTTCTTCAAGAACTTGATTATCCTCATCATTTCGCGATGATGAATTACTGTAATGAGGATAACTAGGATTCGAGCTAGCACCAGAATTGGTTCCATTATGTCTATTATCATCTTCAACGACTTCCTCGCCCTTTAACTTTGCATTCTCATTCCTTAAATTACGGATGATCGCGGTCATTTCCGACTTATCTTTTTGTAATGCTTCTACCTGTTTCTTGGTGGCTTCCAATTCTTTTGCTTTTGCTTCTAAATCTTTAATGTATCTATCTTTACGTTGACGAAAAGCGCGTTGGGCGGCTCTATTCTGAGCGGCACGTTTAGAATTGGTCACATTTCTTGCAGAACCTCTACCAGAAACCATATTCGCTGAATTCGACATATCAACACCATGATGTACATTTGAGACGTTTTGATTTTGCGGTGGTGGAAGTGTTGGAGCACTTTGATGTCCGGAAAGGTTATGTTGAGAGTAAAGTTGTTTTTGGATCTGTGTTGGTTTATTATCTTCAATACCAACAATATTTTGCACTGATTCCATATTACATATGAGATAAAAAAAGAAGGTAAAAAGATAAGTATAAAACAGTCAAAAAAAAAAGGAAATGAATATGATAATGAGAACAAAAAAAAATGAAAAAAATGAAACCGAAATAAACGAAAGGATTTTATTATTAATTATTATTTCTCTATCTTTTTTCCCCCTTAAAGGTAATAACAAGCGTGGTAGTAATAATAATAATAATAAATAAATAAATAATAATATAAATATAAATATTGTTATGTAATATATATATTTGATGGTCGTTGGAGGAAAAAAAAATTTTTAAACGAATTGATTATATAAGAAAAAAAAAGGGAGATCCAAAAAAAAAACGGATTTATATATAAATAATTGGAATGATTTTGAGATGAGTACGGAAATTAAACATTATAATTATAAAAATAGATAGGGTCTGTTGGCCTCGGGTTACGACAACTTTTAGGGCAAGATGTACATGCTCAGATGCGGAAGCAGCGGAGAAACGGCACAAATGATCATTCCAAAACAAAATTTCTTTGTTAAAGATGAAAATCAAAAAAAAAAAAAATAAAAAATAAAAAATAAAAATAAAAATATAAAAGAATATAAAAATTAAATAATATATATAAATATATAAAAAAACTTAACACAATTAAAATGAAAAAATGAAACCAACATTAAAAAGTGACCCAGTGCATACATAGATGTACATGAAATGAATGAAAAAAAAAAAAATTTTTTTTTTTATTATATTGATAACGGAAAAATATGGATAAAAAGATAGGTGGTCAAAGCACATTATATAACAAACAAAGGTTTAAGTGTAAAAAGAATAATGAAAAGAAATGGAAAATAAAAATGATGATGGATGATTGATATAAAGAGGAACAAATTCTTTCAAACTTACTTGGACCATTTGAAGGTTGATATGGACTAAAAGAAGATGGAAGCATTGAAGTTGGGTTAAACCACTGAGAGGCGGACAAATTTTTCTGTATGGGTGGTTGAGCCATGGCTTGCGATTGTTGGTCAAGAACTGGGGGTTGTATTTGGTGATAATAAGGACTCGTAGAACTAGAGTTGTTGATAGAAGAAGTGTATGCCGTCGTAGGCCTGCTGCTATAAATGGACGTCGAAAGAGGAACTAGAGGGGGTGTCAAATTTGTGTGCGTGTACATTGAATTAAGAGCCATTGTTACAGAAGACATTCGATGTATTGGAATGTGTTGTTTCCGGTGAGAGTTTTTTTTGTTTTATTTTTTTTTTAATTTTTTTTCGTAAGAATGGTATAGTTTGTAATGAATATCGTAGATGAAAAGAGTGAGGAGTAAAGAGTATATTAACTTAATAGTTAAAGTTAAAAATACTTTGATGCGGAATAGAAAATCTTAATGTTTTTTTTTTTTTTTTTTTCGTTTAAAAATTGTGGGTTTATAAATGAGTTAAAAGAAAAAAAAAATCATTTTAGATTCAGATACCTTTTTAAAATTTTTTTTTTAAATCACGAAAATACGTGCTGCATCTGTAAGCACTCACACTTGAATATATTTACTTGGTAGTTAATTATTGTAAATATATAATTATTTTTTTTTTACATAAAAAAAAAATATGATGGAGCTTATAAATAAGAAAGACTACAAGTAATACCTGTAAGAAATCTTGTCCTGTAATTTGATGACATAAAAATCCCAAAATCGTTCTATTTTTTTACTTTGAGTTCCACTTCGCCTTTTTAGGACGAATATTTGTTATTTGAATTCGAATGATTTAAAAAAATCAAAACCCTTTTTTGTAAGTTTATTTTTGGGGAGTATTTTTATATATTATAATGCAAAAAAACAAATATTATTATATAACATAAGGTATTTATAATATAAGATTTGTATCTGGTGTCACCAAACCTAAATTACATTAATTATTTGATTATAATATAAAATTAGAATACTTTTTTTTTTTTATTTATTTTATGCAATGCATTTTATAATACTTTACCCTTTTTTTTTAACAGAAAAAAAAAGAAAAAAAGAAAAAAAAAAAAGAAAAAAATTTTTTTAACAAACACGCATTTCATACGCACATACCTCTTGAGTCGGGTTTAGTCAAAAGGAGCTTCCCTTGAAAAGACATAAAATGATGTCATTAGATAAATATAAAAAAGTAATGCCATATAATCAAAAACTTGCCATTCCTTGTCACCAGAGCACCAGAGGAGTATTTGAAGAATCAAAAAAAAAAGAATTAAGAGTTAATGAATCATGAAAATTTTATTTGGGAAAGACAATGTACCCATTGTTTGTCATTTAAGATCATTTAAGACAAGGAAGGACCACAAACGTACCATTCTTTGATCGGAAAAACGTGAGAACAAAGACATTTAATATCGCTTGTTCGTCACTTTATGGGGAATCAGATGCTTCTTCGTTCCGCATCGAAAACGTTTCTTTTTTAAAATTCTCAGGTAATTAGGCGAAATTTGGGAAAAAGAGATCATAAACTCAGAAATCATCAAAAATCAAAAAAAAAAAAGAAATGAAATGAATGAAAAAAAAATTTGATTTTTTTTTAAAGTACAACAAATATATGCAAATATAGAAATGTAGTGATAGTATATCCCACATAAAAAAATGAATAAAGCTGTAGATCTATTTGAATTCCGATTATATTTTATTTAATTTTCATGAACATCGATCTATTGTATTGTATGTATATTAAGTGATACAGTGTTTGCCTTATCATATTCATCTAAACAAATATTAACAATAGAATTCGAATATTTATTTATATCTGGCGAAAAAAAATTTCAGACTAAAATTTACTTATTTTAAAAATTCACTAAACAAACTTTAATTGATTTATAATTTGTTATTATACTCTCTTTTTTACCATAACGACTGTTACAATTATACCTTCTAGCATGAGCTCGCATTTGTTGAATGAACTCTAACCCGAACTTTAAAACAAAGAGGAAATTACGGAGTTATTATCACACTTATCCAATGGCAAAAAAAAGAGACCAAACAAATAATTTTGTTGAGAATTTTATCAAAAATATGTGAATGCTTCAAGAAATCATTAGGTGAGAAAAAGAAAATTCTTTTTTTAAAAGTAAAAAAAAAAAAAATAATTAATTAAAAAATTACAATTGTGAAAGCGAGTGGGGACCTTTGATTCTCTCCAAAAAAGGGAATAGCTCGAGTAGTCAGGTACAACCCTATACATCACGCCATGATCAAGTAAAACCAGTGCACCGTGTCTTTTGAATAATATATGTAACCATTTGTATGCATGCAATCTGTTGGGCGAAAAAAAAAAATTTTAAGAAAGCGGATAAGCCTAAATATGCCCACGCCAAAAACAATTGTCCCACTCTTACCCAGTGCACCTTGTTTCGAAGGGAGCTTTCTATGGAAAATAACAGATACTAAGCCCTTGTAATCAACATGCACTGTTGAGTATTATCCCTAATTCAATGTTTTTTTTTACTTTTTGAGTTTAGTAAAAGTGTGAATCATTGAAAGTCACGATGGAGAACTTAACTGATCGGAAATTTTACAATCAATCCCGTTTTTATTTATGATAATATTTTAATACTAAACATTATTGGATGAATACATATTAAAATAGATTACCATTCTAATCAAAAAGAATTCACGGGGATCCCCAGATGTTTTTTTTCCTTTTTTTTCATTGACATGTCTTGTTTAATGTTCTTTGAAAATCATATGGAATCTCATTTCAGAGAAATAATTAAAACCCGTTAAAAAAAGATTGTTTAATATAAAAAAACTTTGTCACCATCAAAACTGCGGACAGTATTCTGTGTAATAAATAAATAATTATGTAACTCGATATAGAAATGAAACTCTTAACTATTTTTGTATTGAGTTTTTTCTCACGTCAAAAAAAAAGAAGAAAAAAAAAGGAATGGAGAAAACATATTCCCCTATGAACAATGCAAAACTTTGCATTGTCTTTTTACTTTTTATTCTTTACACTAGAGCAACTTGGTGATTCACCTCCACTCTTTAGTAACTTATCACAACATTGAAGTAATTTATCAATCGCTTGTTGACAACGTGCCTCTTGATAATCATTCTTTTGCAAACATGTCTGAATTTGACACGCTTCGTTGAGGCATGGTTGAGAATCATCTTTTGGCGGTAATCTTGGTTCTCTGGTAGGTGGTTGGCTTTGCGTTGGTGTTTTGGGCGCTTCTCCCATGTTTTGATGCTACGACACCATAACGACCAATTAAAAAAATTAAAAAAAAAATAAATGAATTTCATAAGATGGTGAAGATGATCTTATCTGCACAAAAACAAAATAAATAAATAAATAAAAATTACCATAGCGTAACTTATTACAAAATTTTATCAAGGGAAAACTTGAAATTAATTTTAAAAAAAAGGGGGATATAAAAAAAAGAAAAAAAAAAGTGAACAAAGGGGTGATATATTAAAATTTTGTTGAATACAACTTCTATTTTAGTCAAATTGATATACCATTGGTTGACTTATGATTCTCACAAATTTAAACTTAAAAAAATTTAATCTCCAAATGTCAGTTTAGATTCTTGTCCCAAGCGTTAATATATACAAGTATAAAACGTGTTTATTTAATAAACGTTTAGATTGAAAAAAAAGACCAATGAAAAAATTTCGTGCATAATTTTTTTTTTTTTCACGGAAGTGATTTAATCCTTTTTTGATGTCATCTTTAGTAATGTGTAAATCCTCCGCACGATTTTGTATCTTCAATTTACATAATCAAAAAACGGAATCACAAATTATCGTAAGGATTATCCTCTCACAAATTTTTTATGTTATGCAAAATAAATCCCTTTTTTCCCTTTTCAATCATTCCAATCATTCCCATTTTCTAAAAAAAATAAAATAAATATAAAAAAAAAAAGTCCATCACGGACAATTTAATTTTTTTTACTTACATATCAATAAAAGTAATATTAAATAATCCAAAGTAAATAACATTAATAATCAAATCGGATTGTTTGGGGATTGTGTTTAAATTTTGTGCGTTTTTTTGTAGGTTAAGTCAATAACGTTACAATTTTTTTTGCTTGTGATTGTGTGTTGTTATTAATAATCGGATGAATAATAAGATTCTTGTATGGAATATTCCTGAAAGAATTGTTAAAACCTGGTAAAAAACAAATTAAATCTTCTTAGCACGGGAAAAAAGGGACCGAACATGCAACATGGCGCTAAGATAGTATCTTTCATTCGTAAACAATTTGTCAGACTATTTATTTATTTATTTCTTAATATAAAAGATGTAAATAATGTTAGTCATCGAATGATGTTTTCTTAAAACAAGTAATTGTAAAAGGGAAAGTTTCCTTTGTGGTTTGTGTTTGTGAAAGTATTTAGCGTGTACTTTTCTTCTTTCTTCATGTGTTAAATAAATATCAATGTTTGTGATATAAAGAAATGTAGAATTTGTTTGTACTTCCATCTATATTCCGACTTTTTTCCATTACCCGAAATACACAATTTGATTGGAATTCTTCCCCCCTATAATATTGGCCTGCGATTTTTTAAGGCTTTATCTCGGAGTCATGTGCGATCAAGGAACGCTAATGACGTACCAAGTTGACGATCTTGTGATTTTATCTCTATCACAATACATGACTTTGCTGTTTACAACTTTTTTGAAAACTCTCTGTCTCTGATGAGTCTTGCACACGTTATATTTGTTAAATTATGATAAAAAAAAATTTTGTTTAATCGAGACTAGTAGGTTATTTCATTTTATAGAACAACTCTTGATAGATCCATCCTCAACTTATTATTGATTCCATGCATATTCAATGAAAATTATCACGATTAAAGTTTTAGATGCTTGAGAATGATTAGTTTTTTCAGAAGAAAGGTATAATTAAAAATTTTTTTTGTAAAATATACAATTGCCCCTTCCTTTATGCTAATATTTTTCCAAGATTTTTTTGAGAATACGTTGAAATGCTATAATTTTTTTTCTATACTTTTTTTCGTTCCTACCGTTATTTCTTTTTAACTACTTTCTCTTCAGCAAAAGACTTTACACTTTCATAACCAGATTTCACAGCCCCATTGAAATCAAAATTAGTAAATTTTTGTGTAATACTTATGATATTTTCATTCCAAGTAGATTTGAAGGTAGGGATGAACCGTTGGTGAATATAATGTTTGGTTTGAGCAACTGATGGTAAAGGCAATTGTGGTCTAGAGTTTGATGTTTTCGAAGGAATTGATGCAGGTAATGTCTAAAGGACAAAAAAAAAATAAACAAGGTAAATTAATTATGATCAGATAAAAACTTTCTTTTGTTTTTTTTTTAAAAAAAAAAATACATAAATAAATTATAAATAAAATAAAATAAATAAAGTAATTGAAAAAGTAGTTTAATCAATGATTTCACCTTGTCCCTCAAGTTTCCGGGCAAAGAGGAGTCGAGCTTAATTTGAGTATTATGAAGTTTTCCAACAATTTGATTTGTATTTTGTTCAATATTATGTTGAAAACGATATAACATGGCAGCAGATATGACAGCACCTGCAGATAACGCTTTCATTATTGAAGATTAAGAAAATAGAGAAGTGGATAAGGAGAAAGAACGGCAAAATTTTTTATTTTTCTAAAAAAAAAAAAAAAAAAAAAAAAAAGTAAAAAAGTTAATGTAACCTTCGTGTAACTTTGGGGTGTTAATTGTTAATCATCCATCCGATCTGGGGAGAAAGGACCGATTTTAGACCGGGTCTCTTAACCAAAAAAAAAATTATCTTGAAAAGAAGCGTCAATCATGAAAGAATTATTTTCTTTTGAAATATATTGGAAATTTAGGTATATTGATCGAAAACCAATTTTCGCACATCAATTGAAGAATTAGCAAATAATGGCAACAATAATTTGAAAGAGACATGCATTTTCTCATGTTGATTTACCTTCAAAGAGAAACGTGTATTAGGTAATAGTTGATAAAAGAAATGTATTTATATTTTATCCATCATCATTATCCCATTGATTCGAGATGAACATTGGAAAAAAAATTGTATAATTGTCTACTTTTAAGACGCTCTTTGTTTTACAAAAACGTTCAAATATTATTTTAGCCCGACTATGTAATGTTTTACATATTTGTTAAAATAATCAACTTAAAAAATATACATTTCTGTACATTAGCTAATCAGTCCGGGGACGGATCATACGATAATTATATCTCATGACTTTGATTTACTTGGTAGGAATTTTTTCGAATCTATTTGTCACGTGCCCATAATTAATTTTAATGCTCGATCAATTCACTTGATTCGTTTCCGGACCAATCTCATTCGATCGGTCTTTTTTAACGCAATTTGTCCACCGCTAATTAATTATTTGTGAGATTGAGTGATACGAAAAGGAGTGGAGTCAGGTGAAGAAAATGATCGTATATCACATGAAATGATGTTAAGTATATTTTTTTTTATATTAAACTGACCTACAAAAAATTCAGTATACCTGTTCACGTGACATACTCTAATCATTACCTTGACCTTATTCCCTTTTTGGAGAGATTGTATCGATTTTTAGACCGATTTTTCGAATTTAGAAATAGCATTACAAAAAATTATTCCAATATCAACAGAAATCTAATGGATTTTATGGATTTTAACAAGCGTTATGGTGGCTTGTTATTATTTTTTAATATTTGTTTATTTGTAAATTAAATTTAATAAAGTATTATTAACGCACAACCGACCTATGTTTGATATCACAATTGTTGAATAGCTAAAATTCGAAATTAAAATGCGTTTAGATTCTTTCTGATCCAGTAAAAGAACTTAATTATAAATGATTTTGATATATGTATATATATAATTTTTATGGTGTCCAAAACAACATACTTTTCATCATTAACCGATTATAATTACAATTTTGTTAATAAATCGTCGTATTTGTTAAATAATTAACTTTTCGTCCTTATAAATGAAAGATAAATCCAGAATCACTTTCTATCTTGATTATTGAGCAGTAATTTCAATTAATTATTGTAACGGAAAGAATCGACTCAATTTTTTGAGAAGGAACTTCTAACAGATATTCGAAACTTCGAATAGCATTTATCGTGACGGATTCGATCCTTCATATTGGTCCGAGATCGGTCATATGATCGGATACGATCTCTACGTGTAACCGAAATCGTGTGACTCAAAGACATAAAAGAAAAAAAATTTTCCAAAAAGCAAAATACCATTCTAAATAGCTTTGTCAACCTCAATTACTATTCCAAAAATTTTTACCATAACCTTATTCTTTTATGTTATTATCAACGAAAGTAGATATACTTAAAAAACCTCTCATCAAAACAACTAGAGTGTTGACTTCGAGACATCTTCAAACATTTGGAAAATTCAAACCATCAGCGAATCTGATAGATGATTCGGAATTTTATCCAGGAAAAAGTTCAATGATTAGAATGGAAGAATATTATAACACAATATTATATGATGATTTAATGATACTAACGTATAAAGATCCAAAATCAGAGAAAACATTTATTGAAAAAAGACTTAAAAAACACCTACCTTTAACAAAAGTTACACGAGATACTGATAATCCGTTTTTGAAAAATCGTCCACCATTAAAACCAAGGGGTGATAAAAAATCTAAACCCATACCACCGCCTCAAACGCATGAATCAGTTCCTTATTTAAAAGAAATTTATGTTCATTGTATGATTAAACAAGCTATTCATAATAAACAACATTTATTAAGTGGTATCATGGCTTTGCAATGTATTACTTCCGAAAGACCTACCGTCACATATTCTAAAACTGGTGTTGCTAATTGGAAATTGAGAGCGGGTAAAATATTATTAAACGCGTAAAAAAAAATTTTTTTTGTCTTTTTTTTTAAAAAAATTAATTTTAATTTTTTTTTTTAGGGATGCCGATCGGATGTAAAGTATGTATTCAAGGCCCTCCAATGTACACCTTTATTGACAAATTAGTTGAAATAGTTCTCCCACGTATGAAAGAATGGCATGGTGTGCCAATGTCTTCAGGTGATGGAGATGGAAACATTGCTATGGGATTTCCTGCTAGTGCATTATCTTTATTTCCAGATATTGAAGGAAACTATGATTCTTTTCCTTTGATGACGGGGTTTGATGTTATTTTTAATACTACAGCTTACACTGATTTTGAAGCAAGATCGTTATTGAGTGGATTCCAAATTCCTTTTAACGAAAGAAAACGAAGAAATAAATTATAAAATATTTACAAAAGACAATCACAAAATCGAATTTCATTGGGGAATATTATATGATGTGGGTATACATTATTATTATGTTTTTATACCTATTGTAACAAATAAATGTTTTTTAATGTTTATATTAATTTATAAAAAAGTTAAAAAATTCATTTAATTCAAATTGTTTACAAAGAAAATTTTTTTTTTCGTGATATTTAAACTTTTTAATGACTATTAAAAAAAGTATACTTTAAAGGTACTGTTTTAATTATCCTTATATATATATTCCAAGCTATTTTACAAATTTTAATATTGTAAATTTTGACTGACCTATTGCTATCACGAAATTGTTAATATATTTTTACATCAGAATTTATATATTATGTAAAAATCAAAATCCAATCTTTGTACTTTTTACATTACGTTATTTCATATTTTTATTATTTGAGAACTTAGTATACTTTTAATTTCTAGTAATTTTAGCTTATATCTGTCACGCACGTGACTAATTAACTAACAAAAAAGAACAGATCCCGTTCACCTAGTATAAGAAACTCTAAATTAAAAATTATAATGGTATATAAAAAGGAAATTTGATGATTTTTGTCAGTACAACTTGTTACTAAGCATTTATTATATTATTACGCATTATAGTATAAATAATAGATTTAATATAATAACTATCTATTTTATTTATTAAAAGTACAATTTTTATAATACTTTTTGATTACAATTACTTTCTGCTCATATTTTTTTTCTTTTTATTCTTTATATCGTTAGATTGTATAGAATTAAATTCTTGTAAAGGGCATTTTGTATTCTTTTGCATTAATTCTTTAGCAGAAATGAAATTGTTATAAACTGAATCATTACTTTCCTATATTTTTTTTAAATAAAGTTACAATTTTTTGAAAATAAAAATTTACCTGAATATTATCATTATCTAAATTAGAATTATCAGATTCACTATCAGATATAGTAGTTAAAGATGTTAAAAATATAAATCATTTAAAAAATTAGTTTATTTTTATAGTAAATTTAATAAAAAGCTACTTACTGAAGGTGATAATAAAGGAAGTCCTTTAAGTCAATCAATTATGCCAGAAAGTGCTTCTTTTTTGTGATTATTATTTGATTTTGCATATGCACAATAACCTTCAACAGAGCAGTGACCAGTAATTGCCATACCAGTATTTTCAGGAATCCCAAAATCAAATAATTCAATTATACTTTCTTTAATATCAATTTCATATTCAATACATAAGTTTTTAAACATAGAACAGATGGTATAATCAGCCAACTGTTTATCTTTATACCACTTTCCTTGAGCTATAGCTAATAAATAAAATGTATATATAATATTAATAAAATAAAATATAAAGAATTTTTAAAAAATATTATCATTAGCATTTTTATTAATTGATAAATAAAAATATAGACATTTTTCTTTTTGAGGTCGAAGTGAATAAATTTACTAATATCATGATTTAGACCAGTAATTTCAGTAGATCAGGGGGAAATAGAATATTCAAGTCAAACTGATTTCCATCAATTCCTTCTTGATCATTTTTTTGCAGTTTTTTAGAAAATAATTCCTTCTGGAGTATCAATTATTTGGAAAGTTAGTAGATTGATATGTTCACCACCCCTTGAGGCATTTAATAAACAAATCCAAAAAAAAACTCATTTTAATAAACCTAAAGGTGCATTGGAATTTAATGCTTTATGATGAATAATTTGATGAATTTCATCAGTTGATAATCCATCTGTAACTTTTGTTTTACCAGTATCTTTTTTTTTCATATCTTTAAAAAGACCATCAAAATGAGCATATAAATCAGAAAAATCAACTTTGTTATGTAAATTATATCTCCAGCCCAGTTTGACATCTTGCAGATATCTACTAATAGCAGATAAAGCATTTTTTAAAGAAGTTCGTGAATAATAATTACCCTTTAAAGTAGTTATACCACAAAGAAATTGGGTAACTTGAAGTTCAATAGTATCTTTATCTTGATTTTCTAAAGGTTAGTTATAACTAACATCTACTCTCTATTTGCTTATTATTTTAATCCATTTTTCAGTATTATTAATTGTGTTTTGAGGAACCCTTCCTTTAGCAAGTGCGGTAAGATGATCAATAGATGGTAAAAAATTTTCTTTTAGTATAATGTTTTATGTAATATTTTTAAAAAAGAATTTTAAAAATAAAATCTGAAAAAAAAGCAAGGTTAAAAAAAGGTAATTAAAAAAAATAACCTTTTATATTGATTGTTACAATTGTTATTGTTAACGATCAACATCATTATCAACCTAATTATATTCTTTGCTATACTATAATTAAATTAGTATAATTTTTTACTCAAATGTAATATACTATGCCTGATAAAACAGTTACTCAGCATTACATGCCTCATAATTGCAGCACTATCATGTCTTATAGGTATTTGCAATAAAAATATGATTGGTAAAATTTGCTAAGCAGAGTTCAACAAAATTTCACTAATCATATTGTTTATTGCAAATACTACAGTTACTCAGCATGAAGTGTCAAGTAACTATTACATATTTATTAAATCATATTATTAATTGTTTAAAAAAAATATTTGAATTATGAATATAACTAATTTAAACTCCATGTGATTGACAAAAATTTTAACTCCAGGTGATTGACATTAATTTTAACTTGAAGTTAAATATAATAAATTTTAACTTGAGATATTACTCATAATAATGATAGACGTGATTATTATGATATAATAAATTGATAGTTTATTTATTGTTCTCTCTTGATTTGATTTTTCTTTTTTTTTGCAACTGATTTTTTTTTCGATTCTTTTTAATATGGCATTTAAAATGGAACCTAATACTAATATAAACTTTCCTTTTCAAAATATTTTTTTATTTGAAAATGTTAATGAATCTCAACCATATGGGAGCTATGCTATTAAAAATAGGTTACAGAAATCTTTTAACAAAAAATGACTTTATTTGGTTAAATTTTTAAAGGCTATTAGTTTATTAATAAAACAAGTAATTTGGCCGATAAAAATACTTAAATTTATGTAAAATGTCAATCAAATATCTAAAATTAGATTTTATAAAAATAAATTTTAGTAATAATCGACAAATGTTCGACATATATAAAAATGATTCAGAGTATAGTTTTAATAGCAAAATCTCAAAAATCTCAAGTGTTACAAAATTGATATAACAATATTTTTGACAAGGCAGATTTAATAACTATTTTATAGTTTCATTATTTTTAAAATAATTTAATATTTGTAAAAATAATTATTATAATAAAATATTATATATATAAAATTAAAGTATCGCCTTATTAATTGATTAGACAAAATATTATTTTTAGTATAATTTTTTATTGTTATTGTAACGTAACTATTTTTTGATCATCAATTACTCAAAATTTATTTACTAGTCTTATAAACCATTTTTAATAGATCAGCTCTTATATAATGATGAGGCTGTTTCAGATATTTATGTTGAAGAAATAGTTGAATCCAGTGATGATGAAGATGTAGATTTTAATAACTTGAAATTATCTATAAATATAAAGTTCAATAGATGAGAGATAGCCAAAACTTATTTTGACGACTAACTAATGAAATGTTTGAGAAAATTAAGTTCTGGATAATTCATAGAAGATTAGATTCAACAACACAATATAATCTGCTTGTTGCATCATTTTCAGATAAAAGGATTAATAAAAAAGATTTAAGCAATGCCATACAATGGTATAAGAAAGATATATTACCTTAAAAAAATAATGCTTGTCAAACCTTAAATGATTTGTATTCAAAAAAAGATAAAGATCTATTATAGATAGTAAAATCACGATTTGATTCTATTGAAAAAAGATTAACTGCCTTATTTTGGATGTCTCTGAATCGATTAAGCTTACAAAAGATTTCATGATGTTGTAATTATTGATACAATATCCAAAACTAATCAATTTGATATGATATTATTGATAGTTACAATTATTAATAATAATTTCAGAAATCTAATAGTAGCAGCTGCACTTTTAGAAGATGAAACTGAAGCAACATTTGCTTAGATATTAGATGAATTAAAATCAGCTTGTGGAATTATACTAATAATAATATATTCAGATGCTGATCCTACTTTAATATTAGCTATTCATACTAATTATGAAGAAACATGTTTTTTTCTTTACATTTTTATATAGGATTAAATCTAAGAAATAAGTTTAAAGGAAAATTACGTGATCAATTTGAACTATTTCGATCCAAGTTTTTAGTTATACATAATTCTTTATATCATAAGTAATTTGAGATCAAATAGGCTAAACTTATTGAAAAATATTCTACTTGTAAACAATACCTTATGCATACATTATATAAATGTAAAAAAAGTTGGACTAGTTATGCAGTAATTAGATATTTTATTGCAAAAATCTAAAATATACAAAGAGCTGAAGTTTCTAATAAGATTATTAAAGATAAGCTTAATCAAAATTTGCGATTAATTGATGTTATTAAAGAAATCTAATCAATCTTTGATAAACAATCAGAAAAAGCAATTATTAGTGAATGTAAAAATGAAATACCAACAAGAGGATTGCCTAATATAATAGAAGAATACTTTCCGGAGTTGAATAAGCTATTGCGAAAATATCTTATATAACAAATATTTCAAAAATAATGTGATCAAATAATACAATCATTTTTTGTTATGATATTCTTTTATTTGAGAATTGGTCTATATTAATAGAAAAAGTATATTTTATTAGTTATAATCAATTGAAAATTACAAAATTAAAATAAAAAAAGATTAGTTAGAGTTTATTAGGATTTGTTAAGATTTGTTAAAGTTGTTAGGATTTATTAAGGTTCATTAAAATTTGTTAGGATTTGTTAGGATTTGTTAGGGTTAGTTAGGGTTAGTTAAGATTTATTAGGATTATTAGGGTTCGTTAGAATTAGTTAGATTAGTTAAGATTAGTTAGAATTCATTAGGATTTATTAGGATTTATTAGA